GTGTGGGGGGTGCGTGTGCGTGCGCGCGCGCTCAAATCAGATCTGACTGGTACAGGAGGATATTGCGCCTCCTTCTCCGGCAGAGCATCTGGTGGATTCGAACCGTGTTCCTCTGGGATTGCAGTGCATAACTAGGGTGTCTTAGGAAACCATAACTTTAAATTTCTAAGCCAAGGAATCAAATCCCAGGAGGTGTTTGGTTGTATAGTATCAGGTGTTTTTTTTTTGCCATTGTTTGTTATAAATAAAACTTTTGTCTCTTCAGCTATTTACAGGTGTTGTCACTTATTGCCAGCAATTAAAATAACTGGTTATGTAAAATGGTACAGCCACTCTGGAAAACAGTTTGTTATTTTTTTTTTAAGGAGGCTGTGAAGCCCATCCCTACTCAATTGTCTTTCCCCACTTTTGGGATCCTTAGCCTCATTCATTTTAAATTGTTGGAAAGATATATATAACACAGCATTTGCTTGGTTTCAATTTTGCAGGTGGGCCTAAATTATCTTCTGTATGTTCCCCAGGATGCGGACTGAGAGTGGGGTGGAGCTCTCCGATTGAACAAGCGTGAAAGGAGGAGTGGCGCCCACTTCTGTAATAGCTCGCCTCCGGAAACCCTATGAACTTGGAGAGAGGATGAAAGGCAGCCAAGCGTCAAGGACTCTCCTTCATAGGGTCGCTATGAGTCGCCTGCGACTCGATGGCACTTAACAACAATAACATCAACAGAGAGACAAAGAGAAAGAGAGAGAGAGAGAGAGAGATATCAGCTGGCCCAGCGAAGAGAAAACGATGTGACCAAGACAAAGGTGGGTGACTTTTAGTTCGCGGCCCTCAGGCCAGTCTTTCATTGTTTTGTTCAGACATTCCTCTGGGTCGTATAGCCCTGGTGTACAAGTTGCCGTCCCGTGGTCACTTGTGTTTGCTGCGAGGCTGAACACTGTGACACGGATGTGTCAAATGCATTAATGGTTGGCTACCCATTGCGGACAGAGAGTGGGGTGGAGCTCCCCGATTGAACAACGTGGAAGGAGGAGTGGCATCCACTTCCATAATACTTTGCCTCCGGAAACCCTATGAACCTGGAGAGAGGATGAAAGGCACCCAAGCGTCAAGGACTCTCCTTCATAGGGTCGCTATGATTCGCCTGTGACTCGACGGCACTTAACAACAACAACAACAACATGTTCCCCAGGATCATGGAAGGAGTCAATGGCAATGAAGGGATTTACAACACTTATTTAAGAGTCTAGAGCACCAGCCCTTATGAAGCAGCAGCCACTCAATCCACTTTCTGATATCTCCTGTCAACATACCTGGCAACCTTGACCATCTTTGGATTATACTGCTTGACCAAGGAAAGCAGGGTCTGCATGGTTTTGCCAGTGTCAATTATATCCTGAAAAATAGGAGAAGGCATTTAAATGGATAGCACAGGAAAGAGTCATTATACACAACACCAAACACATTATATACAACACCAAAGCCCATGGTGTGTATTCTTGCTCATGCTGGTCTCTATTCAAGTTCAAGGTGGGGGCCACTCCCCTGCTGGGCCAACTGCTTGCTTCCTGAGTACAGCTCTTCTTAGACTTCAACTTGCGTCTGTTTGCCAGAGGCCTGCTGCTGGGTTTAACACCAGTGTCTGTCCCAAGTGGCCTGAAAAGTGGCACTGCTAACGAGCTCTCAGGTGATGCTGATGGCGCACAGATAGGGGACCCCCCACTTGAGAACCATTGCCCTAGGGGCAGCAGGTGGCTGGGGGTCAGCTGGGTGTCACCCAAACATACCAGAACACTGACCTGCCAATCCAGCTTATGTCACTCATAAGGGTGAACACCTAACACAACCAGGGTAGGTGCCAACTATATCCGGAGGGTGAGCTCAGTCAAGAGGCTAAGTAACAAAGAGCCAGCTCCTAAGACTAGAATGCCTTCCTTTCACTTGATCTTAGTCAAAAGGCCGAGAAGCGATGGAATAGGACAATAACTGAGTAAGATGTGCATAAATACTCAAAAGGAAAAGGAGAGACAGGTTAGCCAAAGGGGAAGGGGGCAAAATCATTAGGATAGCAGAGGTTAATGGGGGGGTGGTGAAGTAATGGGAAAGGTTCAATGGGGGCTTGAAAAGACAGAGCAACAGCAGGCTGAGAGCAATGGGAATGAATTCTATAAAATACCAATGGCTGTATATAACCCAAAACATCATGTACAAAACATAATGTAAACAAATGATTATATGAAAATCAACACAAAAATGTTAAAAAAATATATTTTCACAACTTTTCCTAACAGTGTTCCTTATAAGAGTCAATATATAGGATCCAAATGTCCATCAACTGAATGAAATAACAACATATGGTGTCTGTACACAGTCACAAAAAAGCAAAGAAGTCCCCATACACACTACAACGTGCAGGAGCCTTGAAAACACTGAGCTAGGTGGGAAAAGCAGCTAGAAACAATCAGACGGAGTGTGAATCTGGCCCAACGGTGAGTCTCAAGCACATCAGAGATAGTGAGAATAGGACAGGACAGAGCAAGGTCACAGGGCCGCTGAGTCACATTGCTCTCGACAGCACCTAATAACATACATACACAGTAAGATCCTCGGTTATGAACATCTTTTGTCACATTATGTAAATTTGCCCTCATTTGGAAACCACTGAATCTTTGCTCAAGTTTTTCAGAACAATTGAATCTTTGCTCAAGTTTTTCATTACAATCAGCCTTTTTTAAAAAAAATTCTTCTCATACAATAATTCGTTTCCACTGTATTTCATTCATGTACATTGTGTTTTATACAATCTTTCATTTGCATTGTGTTTTGGGAAAACAATGGGAGAAGGGAGCATAATCAGCGTTTAAAACACTGAAAAGGCTTGAGCTTTCTCTTGCACTAATGTAAGGCTAAATAAGAACTGTAGACACCTGTTCCGACTTACCTTCAAATTCAGCTTAAGGGCACACTTAGGAACAGATCTCATTTACACCTGTGGCCTGCCTAGGAACTATCTAGAATAGGTAAGTCCATACTAAAGACAGCAAACATTAGTGGCTACCAGGGATGTGAGGGGTGGGGAGGTAATGGAGAGGGACTTCCTTGTAGGGTGATGGAAATTTTCTAGAACTAGATGGTAGTGATGGTTGCACAATGTTGTCAATGTACTAAATGCTGCTGCATTTTACACTTTAATATGGTGAGTTTACATCAATTAAAAAAATTAAAGAAATAGAAGGCTGGTAGGGTATACACTCCAATTTTCCCATTAACTAGAAAAAGAAAAAAAAACCCAAAATATATTCTATACAAAAAAGCCTCATTCTTTTCTAAGCCAAGGCCAGCATTAGAATTGAGGTAAAGGAACTTCTTCCCCTGCCTTAAGAACAGTACATACAAAGTTAGAAAACTATCAGCAGTATATTAACAGTAAATGGAGAACTTACCTCAACAATGAGAACGTTCTAGAAGAAAAAAATGAATATTAGTTTCATAAATCACACAGTGTGTCCAAGTAGAAGTTAAATCACATCCTAACAAACTCCAAGGAATTATCCAAAATCATAATTTAAGGTATGTTATGGCTATAATAAACACTGTTTGTTAACAAGTGGGCCAGCTGAGAATTTTGAACTTTAATACTGACAATTTATTTCAGTGCTATGAATTTTCATTTTTTTCCCCCAGAGGTTTTCATTACTTCAACTGGCAATCTTGCCTGGGACACATTATGAACCCTCTCTGGGCCACAGTTTCCTATGTTTAAAAATAAGGAAGCAGTGGGTCTCCAACTCTAACATTCTAAAAGTTGTACTTCGTACAGTTACTTACAATGCAGTTACCACATGAAACTCAACCGAAATCCCGTTTCCATGGGGCTAAAATTGATGAAAGATCCAAGTACAGAAGGGTCCTATGTTCTATGGCATATTTAGAAATAAGGTAACCTTTCACAAGCCACACAAGTCATGCTGCCCCTGGTCATTCTCATACTCTGTCACTTCAGTATACATACTATCAGACTTTTAACGTTTTCTATATTCTCCTGGGAGCTCTGGTGGCCTAGTGAGTAAATAGTTACACTGTCAACCCAAAGGTAAGTAGTTTGAATCTACCAGCTAACTGCTTGTGGGAGAAAGACTCTCGTGTGACTTATAGCCTCTGATAGATAACCCACTCTTTTCCAACTGATTAGCAATGAGGGAGATGGCCTCCTAAGCTCATGGTTACTAAGACAGGGTATACAAGTCCCTCTGGGTTACAGTAAAGAAATAGTACAGTATTTTTAACCTTGCCTTGCTTAATTTGTATTTGTGCCTGTGTCTTGTAGATTATGCGCTTCATATTAGCAAATCAGTTCATGTGTATTTTGAGTATATGTTCAGAACAACTTTCTCTTGATGGGGCATACAAATTAGAGTCTGAATAACCATGGCTCTAAGTATGGAAGAGTAAACTTGTACACTTTCATGTCTTGAAGCAGTTTATAAAGGGCGAAGGGAGGCAAACCTGTAACACTTGGTAAACAACTACCATTCGAACCCATCATGAGTAGTGCTGTACTACTATGAGAGACAACAGTGGCCTATTAGAAGTCTGTGCTACGAGCAAGGAGGGAAAAATTTCAGTAAAATGGGGCTTGGGTTAAGGTGAGAAAATCAGATACTCCACCAACAAGGGCAAGCTAAAGGCACAGTGCAAATGAGTTATAATAATGAAATACTGCCATCACGTCCAACTTCAATGAGGCTGCAGTACATAGCGTGTCACCAAAATGCAAATACATTAATACAGGGATGGGGGAAAGCCATGTGATTGCTCAGAAAAACCTCGGTATAGTGCCAGGCACACAAATATTGGGGATGAACATTTTTGGTCCCAAAGACTCTGCCACCTAACAGCTGTTTTATTCTTGTCTACATAGTGAGCATGGTTAACACCTTTTCCTAGAAGAATCACAAGGATTTAATGAGATCAGACAGTAATAGAAAACCAGATGCTTGCTCTCCTCCTATCACAATGACTTTGTTCTTTTCAAAAGACACTGAAGGTTAAATCGTCAGCAAAACTAAATAAAATCCAGTTTTAAAAAACTAATCTACTATTCTAATTATATATTGTTGTTGTGTTGTTGATTGCCATTGAGTCGAGCATGACTCATAGGGACCCTATGAACAGAAGGCCTGAAGCCTTTCTATAACTCTCATCGTTTCTCAAAGTTCATAGGGTTTCCAGAGGCATGTTGTTTAGGAAATGGATGACACTCTTGCTTCCAAAATTACATATATTATGTAAATATATATATAAATTATACTACTACTTTTCTCTGTCAGAAAGCTGGACAATGACTAGGGATGATAGAAGGAGAATTGATGCCTTCGAGCTGTGGTGATGGACTGCTGGGAGAACAAACAGGTTCGTCCTAGAGAGGGTGAGATCAGGCTGCTCCTTGGAGGCAAGGATTCTGAAGCTTCGTCTGACATACTTTGGACATGTTGCAAGGAGGGACCAGTCCTTGGAGAGGGACGTCATGCTTGGGAGGGTGGAGAACAGCACAAGAGAGGAAGACCCTCGATGGGACGGATTGATTCAGTGACTAGGGTAATGGGGGTAGATGTGTCAGAGACAATGAGATTGGCACAGGATAGAGCAGGGTTTAGGGATGTTGTACATAGGGTCGCTATGCAAGCGACTCGACAGCCCATAACAATAACCTTCTCTAGCCTGAAAGTGGACATAGCCATATCAGTAAGTTGTGGTAACTTATAACATGGAACTACACTCTGAAAAAACAGCATGGAATTAGAAGACAGAAAAGCTATATTCTGGTCTTGAGTCTGTACTAAGCACTACTTTACAAATGTCATACAGACGTTAAGTAACCAGCCAAGGCCACATAGTTAGGAAGTGGTGAGCTAACATTTCAATCAAGCCATCAGACTCCAAAACTCTTATTTTCAACCACTACATTATCCTGCTTTTCTACCTTTATAAGAAACTATTACAAAAACTCAACTCATAGAGTAGGTTCCAACTTAAAGTGTTTCCAAAGCTGTAAATCAAAATAGTAGGGAAAGAGATTGCCTATCTTTCTCCCAAGGAGTCACTGCTGGATTCGAACTCGACTTTGTGCTAGTCATACAATTCACCAGGGACTACACCACCATCTGAGGCAAACAGCATGGGCCCAGTTTAATGTCTCTTTGCTAAGAGACATAGGTGAAAATGTTTTCAAGGTTAAAGAAGTCCTGTTTAAAGCATGTTGTTGAGTACCATAGAGTCGGAATCGACCCATAGCTTAAACTCCAGAGGGTTTTCAGAGGCAGTTAATTGCATGGGAGGAGATTACCCATCCTTCTCCCACGGAGCAGCTGGTGGCCTCGAACTTCATGCCTTCAGGATTGAAGCACAGTTTCTTGCTACTTGGCCATGAGCATATAGGGCGAAATACAATGCCAACTGCCTCTCGATGACTGACTGCACAATGCCACTAATTAAATGGCTCCAAGTATTTTCTTTTTTTTTTTCTGCTTCAGGATACATACCTTTCCAGTTAAAGTTGAGAGATCATCTCCACCAATAACTTTGATGTCCCCCGTGGACTGGTCATTCTAGTAAAAGGAAGAGAAAAATAGTCATACATAATACATATACTACTCGTGTATACACAGACCATTCAAATAACTAAAATAGGAATTAGAAGATTTAAGAAGTTAGCTCGCTAATGTCCATAGAATTACAATGTCTTCTAAATGATATGAATGATAAGAATTACATTTCTAGAAATGAAGGATTAGGTGACTATCAGCTAGAGATTAGTATACATTGAAAAGCCCTCATTGTTCATTACTGATTTGGTTTTTTTAGTTTGGAAAAGAGAGGACACTCATTTTTGATTGGGCAGTACTACAGCGGTCAGTCACTTTTGAACCAGGAGGGAAGTTACTGGTTTGCCAGGTACCTGCCCTCTGTATAAATTTCAAGGACCAATATCAGATTTCAAGGTCAATATCAGATCCAATACCAAGCCAAGTCTCTCAAGGTCTAGATCAGACCCACGTCATCTGCAGTAGTCCGAGAAACCAGGTCTCATCACTAGTCATCAAGGCATACTTCTCGGGCCGTCCACCATCAGACTCCAGCAGAAACCCTTACACGAGTTTCAAAAGGAAATGCTCAATGCCCACTTTTGTTGGTGGTCATAATAAAGATAATTTGGCTCTGCTGGATTCATGAGCTTAACTTAGATTTGCCCTAACAAGTGAGCAAAGCATGCTGTGAAGTTTCAGCAATTACAATGGCCGCAGTGGCAGGACCGTAATAGACAAAGAGACCAAGGGACAATACAGAGCCCGCAAACAGACTCAGAAATGCGAGGATTTAGTATATGATAAGGATGGCAATTCAAGTCAGTAAAGAAAAGATGAAATGATAAATTATATTGATCAACTAGTTGTCCACTCACAAGGGGAAAGAAATTATGGTCCCTACCTCCCAACATACACAAAAAGAAATTCCAGATGGGTTAAAATCTAAATGTAAAAAATAAGATCATAAGGATACAATAACAAAACGAATGAGCATATGCTCACATTCTAATTGGAAATACAAAAATCTAAGCATGATGTGATGACTCCAAAATCAAAGCAAAGGTCTATAACAAGTATTTCCATTATACACTGGGCACCAACAATAAGAATCCGATAGGAAAACATAGCCCAAATATAAGAAATAGGCAATTCACAGAGGAGACAGCCATTATATACCAAATTGTACCTATCTACTGTTTATTCATCCACACTGGCAAAACTGAAGCCCGAGGATATTGGCAAAAGAGAGGAGAAACAAGCACGCCCTTTGTTGAGAAGATAAATTGGTACAACCTGTTTTGAAAATGATACAGCCATATTGTTATAATGGCAAACATGTAAGCCATTTCACACAGCAACCACATGTTAAGAAATCAATGCCACAGAACTGCTCACAGATACGCAAAGGTACATATAAAGACGTACACTGTACCATTTTAAAAAAAAAAAAATACTGGAAACCAAAATGTCTATTCCTAGGGAGCCACTTAAAATTAAGCTTAGTCATATAAGGTAATGCTACACAGCAATTACAAAACTTTAGTACAGTGGTCTCAACATATTGACACGGAACAATGCCAGTTGCAAACATACAAATTCCAAGTGGTAGAACAATGTCTTGTCTATGAAACTTTTTTGTTCAGCACTTGATAAAAACCTGGAATGGCAATTACCTATGAGTGTGAAAATGAGGGATGGTGAGACTTTTACCTTTACACACTTCTATATCTGGAATATATTGGTGCATACATTTCCATTTTTTATGGAGTGTTACTTTTGGAAAAGCACAAAGAGGCTAATAGTTCTGCAAACTGAACATAAGACATACTTAATGATCAGCCAAAACATGGTTTCTAGTGTTTGGTTTGGTGTTTTT